CCTACACATAACACTCAGTTTCCAAGCTTATAAAAAATGTTGTAGACAGGACACCAACAGTGAATACAAAACAGTTAAAAATAATTCTTAAAAAAAGCATGGAAGTGTGTCTTGTCGAATTAAGTTTCAGGAACTGCCAAACCGTGCGTTCAGAAAACGACACGAGAATGTTGGTTAAACTCATGCACAATCCTCAGCTAGAAAATTACACTGTTCGGGGGGCTTAAAAAACAAATATTTATTGCCAAAGTTAAACCTCCTATGAGAAAAAAGTTTTAAAATCACTTAGATTTATCAAACCACACAGCAGCATAAAGTGGGCACTTTTGTAAAAGTTTGCAAAATACCTAAAAGCTAATTTTTTTTTTTGTTGTTTTTATCATTTTTAGAGGGGGAAACGATGGTTCAGTACTTGTTACGATACCATGGCAGTATTATTTGTAACCATCATAAATAAAATCTACTGACAGGCATCACTATCTGGTTATATTACACATTCACAGAACAAGAACCACCTATTCGAACTCGCAGTATAGTGCAATTGCTTTGCAGCCGAAGTCTGCAGAGATTAAAAAGATAATTAGTAAAACCGACAAAAAACTGCAATACCTGTGAAAGTTATGTTTGTTAAAAGGCATTTACAGTAGTGAAGTCTAAAATCTCCATTTAAAAAATCTATGGCCCCACACAATAGAACAATTACATTTAACTGGAGGAAAAGGTTTTGCCGTAATATGCGTACTCACTAAGCAGTGCACGAAGACAGGGAATCAGTCGTCACGAGAAACGGGATGAGAAGATAACTTAAGAACGGCAGCTAGCAAAATATTCCATAGAAACCTTTCGTGCCAAGTCCTTTAAAAATTTCAGGATGATCGGCCTTTTGCGCTTTGAGGTAAAAATTCAGTCCGATGCGTCGGAAAAGACGGTCTGTGGATTTCTGTCACACGAAACAACGAAACGAATGGCTCAATCGTGTTGGTGCATCAGACGTTGCTGTGAAGTACGGGTTCAGTGCGACGGCTGAGAGCTGCTGGTAGCGGGCAGTCCGACAGAAAGCGGGCCCCCGCGGTCGCAGCGGGCATGCGAAGCATTTCAGGACTGCACGCGTTGTTGGTTCTGCCTCATCCTCCCAGACGCTCTCAGGCAAAATACATCGTGTGCTGAGTATCGTGGTGGATCTGCACCGCCTTCGCCAGGGCCTGGGGATCGCGGCCGTTGCTCTGTCCTGACACGTGGCTGCCTTCAGCACTGTGAGAACAGACACATGCAGAGAACCATGAGCAACTGGGCCAAGCGGGATGTGATTCGAGTCCGTCATCAGCCTACCAAGACGACGAGGCACAGCTCCTTACCTGTCATGATCCTTGTCCACGAGATGGTACCTGGCCCTAAAGGCCACCAGCCTGGCGTAGTACGCAGGAGCTGGAATAGAGACCGACCGCGTACAGCGGACGTACGTGTGACACAGCTGATACGTCAAGAGCTGTAGCTCGTCTGCAGTAAAACAGTTGTCGTCCCACAAGACTTGATAGTGGGAGGGCCGGCTGGTTCCCTGTGGAGAACAGACGAGCAGTCAGCTGGAGAGCATCAACAAACACAGAGGTGGTACCTGAAGGCTGTACCTTCCATCAGTGCATTGAAGGGTAAGTGCCAAACGGGCACTGAACTGATAACTGATGTGACTGTAAGTCTGCCAAGCTATAAATAGCAGCGGCATTACTCATCAGGACAACTCTAAGGATTTAGCCCCATAGCCAGAGCACGGCAGAGCTGAAACGTTACCTGAATTCCTGCATGGCTACAGAGGTAAAAGTCAAATTCAGAAGGATGTGTGATCGTGCTGTCCACAGTAGTGCCTGCTGGTACGTTGCCACTCTTACCCACCTATTGAGGAAAGTTTATTATTAGCCCACAGGGGTTTTTTTGGAAGCGACCCAAAAATACCTCCTAAGGTAGGCTCTACTCAAAGCTGTTCGAGAACTTACTGCTTAACAAGGTGGAAAAATATTAAGGTCATTTCTATAGGAGGAATGAAAATGTTCTGCGAGAGTTCATTTTTAGAAACTTCACCAAATCCAATTGGTGTGTCATCAGAGAAAAAGAAAATACTTGCCAGTTCTATTAGAACTGCAGAGTGGGATCAAGCCTACGCAAGTAATTCAGGACCTGAAAATGCAAGTTTTCTGACATAAATTTATTTCATACCCTTGTTTGAACTCACATCCCAGAGATCTGTATTTGTCAAGCAAACCTTAGATCAAAGAGCTTTCCTAAAAAAGGTTCCTTAGTTGGCTTATGGATTGGTGCCACAGGCAAATCTTACAGATGAGTCTAGAGACAGAACAGGCAACAAACTGAACAACTAGTTCGGTTTATATTCAGCAATCCCGGACTATAAAAACCCAGGCCACAGCTCCAGACACACGAATACAGGGATACAGAGGATGCCTACTCCGAAAGGGGCTGGGAACAAGCTGTTCCATCTGACCGCTCGATCTAGAGCAATAAAAAGGGGGAGGAACTGGCTATTTTGGTGGAGAAAGCCTGTTACTGCACAGAACTGCTACTGCTTGTGCAGATTAATTCAGTGTTAGTGGGCAAGATGCACACCACCCCACTCAACCACACAATCTTACTTTCCTGTTGCCATCACCTCCTTCTTATGTAGTCAACATTACTTGCCCTTTCAGTTTTGTCAGCACAGAACAGCCTGGTGTGATGTCTTTTCTGCACAACAATGTAGGTTATTCCCGGTCTATAATCTTCTTCCAAACTAATACAGGCCTTCCGGATGGCTATCAGTTCTGGCCAAGCTACCTAGAAGTAGAAGATTTCACTATTAGGTGCTGAATTCAGTACATGTAATATTATTTTCATTTTTTCCACGTACAAATGCCACTTTATAAGGAACAGGATTAGTCAGGATAACCGTACATTGTGCTTGCCCAGGAAAACTCACTGAAACTGTTAATTGTGCCCTCATATATATATGTGAAAAGGGCCAATCCCTTTTCTCAAGCAACAAGAAATCGTTAGACAATACCTGCTTCATCTGTCCTTCTGATACTCCCCCTCTGTAGTAAATGATCCTCGTGGGCTTGAAACGAGTGGATTTGTAAAACTGGATCAATAGTTCTCGCACCATGTTTGTCAGGTCCTGTATCACCTCCTGACTGTACAGCAGCTCCTGGGAGGTCTCCTGACGGGAGGTCTGCACGCGCACCGTGGCACAGTACCGGCTGGGATGGCCATCCATGCTGCCGACCACGGCAGCGATGGAAGGCTTCTTTCCATCCCCAGCAGGAGGGTGAGTGACATCTGCTCCCAAAAAGATCACTGGCTGCTGGAACACCGAAGGCCTGTTTAATATGATTAACATTTATTAAATAATAAATAATAACAATAATAATACAAAGAAGGGGGGTGACGAAGGAAAAAAAATTACAACTGAGGAAGGTATATCCAAACCATTGAAGAGAACTCAAGCCCTGTCAGAATCTTCAAGGACGAAGTTCTCTGCCTCAAGCTCTTACAGTCCAGAGAGAACAGAAAGTGCAAAGGAAAGGACCAAAACCAGACAAAGTTGCAAGCGTTTATCACACGGCACTCTTCCTTTCTCCTTTTCTTTTCATTTGGAAGGAATTAAAGTATGCTTGAGGAGGTGGTGAGAGGAAAAGGGTGAGTGAGTGAACCCAAAGGCAGGAAAAAGAGACATAGAAAAATACAAAGTGTTTGTGAGCCTGCTTTCACAAACACTGCTGGACACTCTGACACTGGAGATGATCCTCCACACAGGGCTTACTGGGCGGACTCTGAGTGCACAAACCTCTTTGTCTGCTGTGGGTTATTTCTAAAGCACGTAATATTTCGAAAGGTATCACTGTACCGAACAAAACACAACGACACCGTTGAGCCTGACAACCCAGGCTTCAAGGAGTGCTTTGGATTTAATCTCACCTTTGATGAGGTACAAGCACATTGTTGATTCCTCCAAGCTTTGCGTTTATCTTCAGACACAGGTTGGACAGCGTTTGCGGTGAGGTTTTTACCACGTTCTTTACCTGAACGCACTGAGTGGCCATTCCTAGAAGAGTGTCACCAACCCGCTTCACTTCAGCTGTGACAGAAAAAGAAGTTAGTGGTTTCAATTACCCGAACAGTCAGCAGTTCCAACTGCTTCCTCTTACTTTTTTCTCAAGTGTTACCATAATTCAGATCCTTAAAAGTTCACTGACACAGGTTCAGTTCACTCTTTGGTAACATACAAGAACTCCCATCAGGCCCTGACAAACCCACCTCCAAAACCCCTTTTCAAACGGAACGTACTGCCTGCTCTGCCTCCTTCCTACCCCAGAAGTGCAGAAGATGACAACCACTTGCCATGCAGCTAATTAACCCTTTCCAGCCTCTTCTCCGTACCATACACAGGCGTCTTTCCAGGCAGGATCACCACGATCAGCTGCAGACCAACGTAGGTCAGTTTTAAGTGTTTGAACATGGGCTCCACGCTGTCGGCACCCTGGGCGTACTTGCAGAAGCAGGGCTGCCCTTGGATCGGCATCCCTGCGTCCTTGGAGATCTTGCGCAGCTGGTCCGTAAAACTCCTGGAAGTGAAATACAAACGGATCTGGTCCAGAGGCAGTAAAGGTTAAGAAAAAAAATTTGTTAAGGTTTTAGAATGAAAGACTATCAGCAGCTAATTGTAAAAACAACAGAACGCAAGTGGAATGCAGGCTCCAGAGCAGGAAACAGCCTCAGTGGTAAGGAAATCAATGCTTTTCCTAGCTGGCCAATCAGGTCATGAACTTTGCTGTAGCCTCCTCCCAAGATGTAAATATTTAAGACACTGCAGAACAGTCGTTTCCTCTTTTCACTATCATATGCATTAAAATCAACTTATGCTGCACACCGCTTTTCAAAAATATGAGGAAAATTAACCTTAAAATAAGTATCCTGAATAAATAGGAAAACACTTACTTTAGTAAGTCTTCCCTGCATTGTTTTTGAGGAGCAAAACAGGCAACAGCCCAAACTTTAATCTCAATGCCAGCATAGAACTGCTTCCCTCTCATGTCCCACACACCTTGGTTTGGTGTGGCCACAGTCTTGTTCTAGGGAAAAACCAAAGGCAAATTAAAAATAAAATGCTGCTTTGTCTTGACTATAGCCAAACGGTGCTCATACAAAGGAAGCCTTATGAGGAGATATACGGAGCACTTAATTTAAATAACCTCGGGATGAGGTATTTGACAAGGCATGGAAAACTCACCCTGCCTCCGTACTGCAGCATTGGTGCTGGCAAAACTCTGCCTGTCAACTCCGTCATTTCATTATGGACAACAATACCGAACTCCTTCAGGTATGGATCGGGTCCACCAACCATACTGTTACTTTTCACCTGGTGACAAGAAAAATATTTCTGTAACTCCACCTAATGCTTCAGGTGGCTCTGTCCTTACCACGAATAGGCTTTCTATTTAAAAGGATTTGTATTAAAGAAGTCAGATTTTTTAACTTCTGCAGTTCTTGGTCATGCTACAATGCTTCCAGAAGAGCCACGAGAAGTGACAACTGCAGATTGTTTAGCTAGGAAAAAACACTCACTAGTCTACTGATTTCTTCCTGTCGGTCTGGTGCAGATCTCGCAGTTGCTTTTATCATGGTCGACGTCTGATTGTCCGTGAGCTTCTTGATGCACCGCTGGCCTGCCACGATGTTACACACCTGCAGAGGAACAGCGAGAGCTGGCGCGATACCGCCAAACGGAGCATCTCCTGCAGTGCAAGGGACAGTCAGACTCTCACCTCGAGCGGTAAGTATGTGTGTTTCTGTTCCTGTCCTACTTGGAGACAGGGAAGGTGAGGGTATTTTAGCTGCAGACTGTACTTCTGCTTAAAATACTGAGCTACTGTACACTCCATAGCCTGCCCATTTTCCAGCTGCAGAGGAAACCTATAAAGGACATTTGTTCTGGTTAGACTTTTCAAGATTTTTTTTTTTTTTTTAAGGTAAAAATGGTTTGGAAAAATCTATTCCAGACTAGAAAGGCTGGAAACATTTATTTTCCTTAGCTGCCGGATCTCTTCCTTATGAAAAGATTTTATGGACTATATACTGAATTTTTCATAGCTATTTTAAACATTATAGCTTCTGATAACTACATTTAAAAGCCAGGACAGCTTCAATTTTCCCGTGTTGAAGGAAGAAAAGCAGTGGTCTAAACCCACACTATTCCTCTACTCCACTAAGACTAAACATTCTTGTAAAGCCACACAGCTGCTTCATCTCCAGAACCAACTATTCTTGCATAAACAATACACCTAGCACACCTAATAGGTTCGAGATGTTAAGGATGGTCAGAAAGTGCTTGTACACGTACGTCTGGTGGCTGGCCGGCCGCCGAGTAACATTGCAAACGCGGTATTTCCTCTTCATCTGGCCGCAGTGGGTAACCTCGACTTTCAGACCTGAAAACCCAACACAGAAGTCACCTAAATAAATTCAGGCATAGGAGTCACTTTTGAGAAAGACGAGGGCAAAAAGCAACAGGTCGGCTTCCCAAGTGCCTTGCAAATTTTCATCACAGTATAACACGAGCAGGTTTCCAGCATTTCGTTGCCCCAGCTTTAGACAAGCCTTTACCTCTGATTTCTTTGGTAAACTTGACACGCTGGGAGTCCGTCAGAGGCTTGGTTTGTTCGTTGATGTTCTGAATGTCCAAGACCTCACACATGAACTCAATGATAGGCTGGGCACGATAGAAAGCAGTTGCTGACACTAAGATAAAAAAAAGAGGACGTTTAATTGAGAAGCGGAAAGAACTCTCTGTTACATTAGCGAGACCGAATTTCCTACATACCATCGATGTTGAGCATCATGTTCCACATGGCGGGCCTGACCGACTGGTGGAAACCGAACCAGACCTCCCTGCCACCACCCAGAGGGTGGTAATAACCTTCAGGGGGGGAAAAAAAGGAGCGACCCACAGGAGTGTACCTGAAAATAAAATAAATTAATACTTTGATCATTCCTTTCTGATCCACCTGTTTACATTCACACCTACAGCGTTTAAAACCCGTGTCTCCAGTACGCCAGAACTGTCAGAGCTGACTTATGGCACGATACAGAGCCTTTACCAACAGTGCAGCTGGAAAGGCTGCAGAAAATTGCTGTTAGAAACATGACCAGCAGATACACGTCCTGAGTCCAGATCAGATTTCCTTATTCTAGTGCAAATTTGTAAGGCAGGCGTTGAATTACACAACTGCATCCCTCATCCCTTCTACTGCAGGGAAGTGCAATAGCAGCAGGACAGCAGCAGGCAATGCCCGATACAATCGTTCAGACAGATATGAGGTTAAGCCAGGCAGGACGGCGCTGGAAGTACCCACCTCATGGAGGGAAGGTGCCGTGTGATCACGTCAAGCGCCTGTACGGAATCTTCAGGAACCTCATTCAAGTGCCCTGCCAGAGCTTCCAGCAGCAACTGAAGGCTGACAACTGACACCCACTGAATGGATACTTTAAACGTCTGGTCCTTCCCCTCTCCTGGAAGTGTCACCTCCATATCCACCTGACATAGTCAGAACAGAATTAGGCACAAGCCTCTGTTATGTATTGCAGACTATCACAACACTAATCAATGTTAGGTTTTTCTCCTGGGTATCCTTTGAATCTATACTTTTGATGATTAGTTTGTGTAATTCTCTTAAAACATTAGGGATGGTTTCCTTAGGATTTTGAAAGCTTGTAATTTATTCGTCTGAAAAACTGCACTGAGGTACCTTTAAGTGTAAATTTTCAGCAGTCATTAGTACAGTGACATCAAAGCTCTGAAGAACTGTGAGCCATTTTTTTAAGTCGGCCGATTAACAGCAAAATGTCTTGTGAAGCAAATGGGAAGGCAAAAAAAACTTTTGGTCAAAAAGACGACTCACTGGGAAACACAAATCTGAGTTCTAGCACAGTACTTGATATTATTCTCACACACCATCAGCCCAAAGCACAAATGTGAACTCGCTCTGCGTATTCCTCATGGCACTGTGCCAGCAATAACCAGATCCCTGGGGAGAAGAGTAGACAGGGGTTAAGTTTTGTACCAGCACTGGTTCATACTGGGATCTGTTAGAGCCAGGGTGCTGGGAAGCACACCCCAGAGCATGAAGGACCAGCGCAGCTGATGTAGTTGTTCCTGTGGAACAGGAGGACGTATCTCAACAGCGCAGCCAAACCAAACCAGCGTATTTGTCATCTACAACTACTTTATCATTGCACAACAGAGCAAGGGTTGGAACAGAGAAAAGGGAAGTTTCCGTCAGGGTGGGGGAAAAAAAAATAAAAATCTACTTGCAGCTGAAAGAGCACAATGTACTAATTTACGTCATCACTAACAAATTCACCAACTGAAGAAGAACTAGGAATTAGAAATCCAAAGATGACAAACTTCAGTAAAACATCAGTAAGTTCCTAGAGATCCCTGACTGGCACTGCCTGTCGTTTCCAAGACTATACTAAAACGTCTGACAGCATTTTGGGTTTAGGTCAATAAAAGAACACTTTTCCAATGAGAACGTAACCGTTTTGCCACACAAACTGAAAACTGCTCGCAGTAACACTTACTCTGTCCCGGCCGATCGGTAAGGGGTGCGCGGTGTACATGTTCCGTTTCCCATCGTATCCGGGCTGCCGATCGCCGAATATCTGCATCTTGAAGTGTCTCACCATGGTATCCACCACCTCTCTACAGAGGGATTTCTCAAGTTAAGTTGAAGAACAGAAGATCGAGCAGTTTAAATCCATAATTTAAAATTATGCAGTTTAACATTCTCTTTTCACATTTTCTTAAACAACCAAGGTAGGACTGTGGAACAATTATCAGGGACACTCGATGGAGAATGAAACGTAAAAACAGCTGTAGTTCAAGGCCCTGTACATTTCCTAGAGCCTTCCAGACTACAGTCCAACTGAAAGACACCGTAATAAAACCAAGGAGAATATTATACACTAGTTCACTGAAAAATTAAGCAACTGCTAACCACGGTACAAACACAAACTGGCCTTTAGTAGATGAAGAATTTCTATGATGTACAGTTTTCTTAAGGTGAGGCAGATGGACTTTTTAATTTTTTTTTATTAAACAACTCCTACCTGTTCACTCTTCGGGGGCGTTTTTCTGGTTTGATATCGACATCATAGTGATAAACATCAATCTTGGGGATCTGAACCTGAAAGTGGTTGGCGAGGAGGCGGATGGGCTTCCCAACAGTTCCCAGGCCAGGGCGACGGGGCGGCTGGAAGAGGCTGGTCGGGGGCCCTAGGGAAGTCGGATAAATATGTGTGAGATGTGATCGATCACGCAGCGCTGTCGCCTTCCGGGTGTACTTGAGCTGACTTTCTGATGGGACAGAAAGAAATCTCCAGTTGCTTTCTGAGGGTGCAAATGGACGTGTTCCAAGCGGCTCACAGCCTGCCGGCTGCTTGGAACTTCCAGGTAAGAAAACGTGCCCCCTAAAGCATATATAGGTTAGTGCCACCATGCATTCCCAGCATTTTAATGGTGTTTGTTCACGACTGTGGTTATGAACCTGATGGAGTCCTGAGATGGAATGCAACCATCTACATATTATGTATTTTTATATAATGTAAAGAGAAAGAAATTCCTACCACCATTTCTACAACTAGCCAATGGCCACACAAGCCACATTTTTTCATTGTTTTCACTACAGGCTTAAAGTTCAGCTGTTAATGATTGCCACTCTCGGCATACTTAGGATGTACATCCGCAATTTTTACCCGAAAATTGATACTATCCAGAAATGGGGAAGGGATATTTTTATTCTTAACTAAACTAAAACTGTATTTCTGTATCGGATCTAAGCTAAAACAGTTTTGTCGTTTCCTTTACATCATGAACACACCGCTTCTGTTAACAGTGAAATACTCTTCCCCTAGAGCACAATTTCAGGGAAAAAAAATTCCAACGCAAAGAAAGGAGTGAGGCAAGGTTTAGGCTTTCTTCTAAAAGGAAGAGTAAGGAAGAAAGCATAGGTATAGACTCCTAACAGATGCGGAGAATACAATTTATTTGGACACAATAGTTCCAAGGAGGAAATTACTAGCGGCTTGAAGAAGTACTCACATGCAAGCTAGTCACTCGTTAAGTCTTTAGTTAACTTCCTCAAAGTGTTAAGATCTGAGATACCACGTTAACAAGATCAAAAAGACTTTTTTTTTAAATCTGTCACAGCCTCAGTTGACGCTGCACATAAAGCAAATAAAATTAGTGTGTTTTCATGAGTTTTGTCTACATCTGCCAGTGCTTAGTGTGACCAAAGTTTCCTCCCTCTGTTGTAGAGTAGCAAAGGAGAGGGGGATAAAAAGTATTATAAGAATGCAATAATAAAGCAATTGTAAAACTTAGGGCAAATTTAGTGTTATAAGATTGTGCCAACCTGCCGGTACCCATTCAAGTCAAAGGCTCACAGTTCATGCCAGGAGAGAAGAGACGTAGGTAAGATGCGGGAGGATGAAGCTCACACTTGGGTACACTTCAGGGTGCAGGAACACAATCCTAAACTAAACCCAGGAACAAATCCAAGGAGCCTTCTACACTGGGTTTGTAAGCCATCCCGTGCTACAGTACTGGTTAAAATTACCGACGTGAGGACACTAACCCCAGAATATTTTTAAGCAGAAGTAACACTGAGCACGCTGCAGCCCACTCAACACACCAGCTCCCCAAAGCTGCAGCAGCACGGTGGCCACCGGGCCACAGACATCCCACGCGACACATCGCTGGCTCCGCACCCGCCTGACTAATCGCGATCCGTCCCGGAGGAGCTCCCAGCCGCAGCGAAACCGGCTGTGGGGTACAGTTAGCACTTTAAAAAACTACAGCTGTCTTGACGAGCGTGAATCACCAAGGGCAATCAAAGTTTGCTGTGCTTATTTGGATACTAGAGAGATGATCCATTAATCCCGTGCTAATTAGTCTGAAGTAAGTGCAGGCACTGACGTCCTGCAAGAGATTAAATGACAACTATATTTACCCATTTTCCTCCCTCGGAATTCACAAGTTCCGTAAACAGGCAATGCTGACCTCCATCAGTTTGATCGAAGGCGATAAAACATGCATCTTCTTCCTGAAGTTATTTCTCAAAGGGTTCTTAGCACAAGCTAAGAACTGTTTTCCCATTTGGAGCCAGGCTGCCCTGCAAGTCCCACTGATTTAGCGGGATTTTTGCCTGATCAGCCTGACTAGGGTTACATGTGCTGTTACTTTTAATTTCTTCTACTCTGTGCCGATTCCATACCGAGCACCGTCCACCAAGTTACTTCAGACAGGAAGCAGTTTCACGAAACTAAAAGAGGATCTACTTCTACAGCTGGAAGTCAGAGACAACACACGACATCATGTACACACACGGCAGATCTCCAAGGTAGCCCTCTGCTATCTTAAAATCTGGATTCCTCTGGAACTGCACTTGTATTGTGCAATTGCATGTGTCAATAAACATTTCCTATGGCACCTAAATTAACACTACTTCGATTATACCCACAGTTTGATCCGGAACTTGAATGGATCAGATGTGCAGACCACTTAGGTCAAGAAATACGTCCTGCAGACATTTGACAGAAGAATAATAGCAGAATAAGACATAGGTGGGAAAATGCCACCTGTGAAATACCACCGATATTTAACCAAAGTCTGTTAAAAAAAATAATAATGTCGTATTTTCAGAAAGGATCACCTTAAACTCTTAATAATGGCTCAACATCAAACCCCCCAAGCTATTATCACACAGTTTACAGAACTCCCGCGCGGAGCACATCGCTGCGCACATCTAGACACCTACGAGTGTTTCCTG